TAAAATTTAATAATATACAGGGTGTTTATAATTAAATTTCCACATTGAAACGGTCATAAAACAAAAACTACTGGATCAAATGTTATCAAACCTGGTAATCGTGTAAAAGAGATCATAGGGAATTTATTTTCCGCGAAAAAAAGGGAAAGTTCCAAACCTCACCACCAGGGGGGGGGGAAAATTGCGCTGTATGCAATATTTTTAAACGAAATATGGGTCGGAATCTAACTTAACCTTTTTGTTACATGGGTTTAATATGTTGCATATACCCTTCAAGAAATTTTGAAGTAAAGAAAATTAACATTTAAAGGTTGTTAAATTCGAATAAAAGTCGAGTGCGCCATCCGTGTAAGTGAGAAATTCGTCTGTGAAAACCACGAAATTAGCGATTAGAAAATGTGAGATCGCAAATCACTCGCACAAGTGCGTACAATCTGGAAATCGTTTTCTTACAGATCGCTAATTTGTAATTTTTGAAGCCTGAATTCGGCCCTAAAACATGAAGATACTGATTCAAAACGCTTTTAATCGATTTGGGCCAAAAAAAAAATCCCTCATGTTATCTATCTAGTTCCATTGCATTCTCCTACTGCATTCGATTGCATAGCAGTCATTCCACACCGTTTGGTGTGGAATGACAGCTAGTTTTATAACTGAACCATTTTTCTCTGAAACACAGTCGACAGCTGGACTACTGTGACTGCAGCTCATTTAGAGTCAATGTTAAAATGTTTCGTGATACATGAACTGCAGTAACGTGGCATTTTAGATCTACGATTTTTATGCACGGCTGGGCCCCACCTCACGTGTGTCGCACAGTTACTTAGGCAACATTTCACAAATGAACGTCTTATACGCCAACACTTCCCCTCTTCCCACCAGACCTCAACCTCTGTGACTTTTAGCTATGGGGTTTCTCAAAAGCACTGTTTATGGTGATAATCTAAACAATTTGGCAGAAATGAAAAATGTTAAACACTGACATGTCCGTAACATTCCTCCCGATATGCTAAGAGCTGCTGTTGAGAATGCAGTAACAGGATTTAACTTGCTTTCGGAAAATGCTAGACGCTACATTGAACATGCTTTGTAACACGTTTCGGAAAATATTAAACACATGTTTTCGTGTCTTATTTCATTTAAGAATCTTGTATACAGCGTCATTTTCCCTCTGGTGATGAGTTTTTTTAACTATTTTTTTTCCTCGCTGAAAATAAATTCTCATAACCTCCTTTACACGATTCCCAAGTTTGATAATATTTGGTACGGTAGTTTTCCTTTTATGACCATTTCAAATTGGAACTTTAATTATAACCACCATGTAAATTAAACTTTAAAAATTTTACAGTTTGGTTCAAGTCCCAGCTTTAAAAATATATATATAAATATAATCTTTTATATTAATCCTCTTAGAAAGAATGTTTTAAGAAGCTAATTTTTCTCTCACGTTATAGATTGTATAAAAAACATGATCTTTAATATGATTTAGATTGTTTCAGCCGATATAAGAATCGGGTTACTCGGTGGTACAGAATTAACCCTGCTGGACTGTTTTATTTCTTTGTCATTTAGCAAAAATCTTTTAATTAAAATATTTATCCTTTGGACTTCGCTTTTTTTTATTTATAGTTAAAATGACTAGAAATGAAAAGCTGTCTTCAGCTGAAACGCAATTCATGTAATTGATATTTTAAAAAATTGACAAGAAAGCAAAATATATGGAAGTCTAGCAATCGAAAAATCTTAATTTTTGTGTGGTGCACTGAAAATAACTGTAGAAGGAAAGAAGAAAATTAGGGAGAAAAGTAAGCAAAAATTTGCAGGGAAATTTGGCTCTCAGACATACCAAGATGTTTCAAAAAGTTGGACGCTTTTGAAGATACTTTCAGGATACTTCAATGAATTTAGGTGTTCAAAGAAAAAACACTTGGACGTGTACACCAGCAAATACCATTAATTGAGCTTGTGGTTAACAGAAAAGACAATATGGTTTAGACTATATGGTTGTATAATTTAAATTACGTTATAGAACATCATATGGTATCATAAATAGAGAATCCCATGATTTTCTCATTCGAATTATTTGAAGATTCAGGAGTTTATCCAGTGATGTATGTGGATGTCACCTAAAGATGTTTTTTTTTTCCTCCTGATGAAACAGCGGCCGAGCGATAAAGTCACTGAACGCTGGTAGTTCTGTCCGAGGTCCGAATCCCGCGAACGGGCTGGCTGCTTGGGCATTTTCGTGGTTTTTCCCATGTGCAACGTGTATGCCAGACAGTTCCAAAGTCCTCCACGAAGGCATCCCTCCCCTTAGGCAGATAGCCCTAGTGTGCTTTGTCATAATTAAATAAACCAAAACCTCTTGATGAAACCAGTCTTTCCTTTCATCTCATACCTTCAAAATGTTTAGCCTCTAAAGACTGATAAAAGCTCTGACCAAATATTGATGAAATGGATTGAATTGAATTATTAAGTTACGTCAAAGCATGGCTATCTGCCTAAAAGGAAGGATGCCTTTGTGAAGAACATTCTAAGGGAAATCAGCTGGCATACACGGTACACATGAGAAAATCCACGAAAACGCCCATGCAACCAGCCTGTTTACCGGGATTCGAACCCCGGAGTGAACTATCAGTGTTCAGCGACTTTACCGCTCGGCCGTTTGTGGGCCTTTATGAAATGGAAGGCGATAACATTATTTAAAATGATTGTCAGAAATATCAAGATATTTAGAAAATTGGATATTTTTTAATATACTTGCAGAATGTTTAAAGAAAAAGAGCAAGAATAAAGTAGAATGCCTGAAGAAAAAGAGAAGAAAAAATACATTTTACGGTAAAATTTAGTATTTGTATTTTTTTTTTTTTTTAAATTTAAAACTTTTTAATCTTATGATATTTGATTTTTACGATTTCAAAAATAAAATATTTGACTAAAATATGAATAACATTTAAGAAGCCAAATGTAGGATAAAATTGTCTAAAGCAATGGGCACAATGATAAAACTGTTTAAAGCAGTGTATGCAAGTCATCCTAAGTTAAATGTCTCTCTTATTTATATATATCTTTTCTGAACGGAACATTGAAAGGCGTGTTAACTGTGCTTTACTGTATTTTCTCTTTTAATATATGCAGTTTTCAAATGCATCATAGTCTGGGTTACAGAGTATTCCTCCGAAAGAAACGCAATTCAAATAAATAAAATCAAATTCCGGAAAATTTATATTAATGAATAGATTTAAAATGCTCAATTCGAAGGAATAAATAGAAAATTTTAAAACAATTATCTGAAGAGACAATGCAACACAAACAATTAAAATAAAAGTTAAGAATTTAAAAATTACCTAAAATAATAACTATGACAAAAAATATATATAAAGAAAACTATTTGAAAAAAAATAAATGCTGCACCTTTATTTACGCAGTTCGAATAGGTAAGTAGAAATTTTTAAATAGTTATTCGAAAAAAAAAAAAAACCATGCATCTTAAACAATTAAAATGAAATTCGAAAAAGAAAAAAAAATTACTTAAAATAATAAGTTATAAATTAAAAATATAATATAAAGAATATTATTTGGAAAAAAGGAACGATGGTGACTTTTTTTCCGCTCACAGGAAAGGAAACTAGGTTGCCATATATTAAGAAGTTCGCCAAGTGAACTATTCTGGCGCAACCTGACAAAAAAGTGCCAACATAAATTTGTGAATTTCTCCGTAAATTTCGCTCCAAATTTTACAAAATTTCATATTTAGGCGTAATTTGAGTCGTAGAATCGAAATATGTAAAAAAATTGGTATGTTATTTCAGAAAAAGTCCGATTTTGTGTTAAAATACCTACGTTAGAATAGTGCTATATATAAAACTAATATATATCCTAAGTCGCGCTTTCGAGACATGAAGAACGCAATTTGAATTTTGTCAATCGGCCCAGTAGATCGGGAGATATAGGACTGTCCCATTTTTTTTTTTGAGCAGTGTACATGTTCCAATTTTCACTCTTTCAACCAACAAATCACACTTTCAAGTTTTCTGCTGCCAAAATTATTCAAAAACACATCTTCCATTGGAGAACTGGATTTTCTAGAGGCATTTCACATTCAAAAGAACTTTCTGTTCTAGTTAACGATCCTAATTCCAATCCGTCTTTGCCTTCGGCCTTTAAAGAAATTATGTTTTAGTTCTGGTTTCACCAACAGATGGTGCCACTTGCTTATTCTTGGCCGGGCTTTCTTATCTTATCTAATCATTATTTCCTATCTTGTTCATTTGCGGTTTTGCAGCTGAGGATGGTGGTTCGGTAAAACCATCGAAACTAGTCCTGTGAAAATTTTGTAAATATAACGCTGATTTTTGTTGTTTGACTTCTGAATTAGTATTTGTTCGGCATGTTATTGTGTCTTAATTAAGTAATGCTGTTTCATTACATAAGACAAGATTTTAAATTCTCATGTTACAGTAATAATTTATACTACATTAAAGTTAATTATTGCACGTATTGCACTTTCTTAAATTTATAAAAATTCAACAACATAAATTATTTTATGCTAACTATACTTTACTATTTCACTACTATTACACACAGACGTTATTACTGAAATCATATTAAGATTCACGTAGTTAGAATGTGCAAAGATAGGTCTTTGTTCTAATTATTAATTTATATTTGGTTTTTGTTGCAGATTGATAGGAATTATACATCTGATTATTTCAACTATAATAAAAAAAAAACTCTTATTGCTTTGAAAAAAATTTATTTCTTAATGTATTTTGTTATTAATTAAATTCTGGAATGTCAATAAAGTGATCAGATATTTTACATTGAATGTTAATATTTTTTTTTTCGATTTCTCATATACATACTGCAATTAACATTTTTTGTAATAGTCATTCATATCCAAAACTATATAAATATATATAAAATATATTTTATGAAGTAACCAATCATTCTGTTTTTTTTGGGGAGTCCCCCGTGAAATGGAAAGAGGCAAACAATTATCCGCATTCAAAAGTTTTTTTTAATACTTAAAACATAAATAAACATCTATATTGAACATCATATGTCTGAGGTGACCACCTGCACAGAAGACTAAAATTGTCTGGAACTGCATATGATTCTTTTACAGAGACTTATGACAAAGCCACGATGACAACTAAGGGCATGTTAAGAGTTTAGCAGAGTTTTGTGTTCTATGTATTCATATTAAATTTTTGAGTTTAAGTTTTATGCTGCTGTGTGTGTTTTTTAATTAATTCATTTAATTTTACCCACCTTTTAAAAAGATTAATAATTAAATTAAAATTAATTAAAAGATAAAAAAATTTTGGACACCATTGTATATAAATGTAAAATGAAAACACTGTGCCAAGTGTAACTGATGTTGTCTAGGTGACATTATTTTCGAAGAGATATAGTACAGAAAAGACATGTTCAAAGGAAAAACCTCCTCTACTCAGCAGTCAGTCCATACCTCCCAAATTCATGAGGATAAAAATCAGATTTCATACAAATGCAAAAAAGTGTTAAAACCGATTTTACACAGAGCTAACACGTATAAACTATTATAACTACTGTAGCTTTTTCGCTTTTGGTAATATATCATTGAGAAACTATGATTTATAACAATTATTATTATTACTTTTAATCTTACAACCAAGATATTCATATACCATCAAAATAGAATATCAAAGCATGACAGAAAAATATAAAAATGTTTTATTTTGGTTATTTTTTAATATTAATTTTTAATACTAGATTTTAATGGTATCAAAATCATTCATTTGTCAAAAAATTGTCATGAAATTTGCAAAGGATCAAATCAATCTTCACTAAAATGTTGATAAATCCCCAAATTAGTGACACACATAAAAAAATCATATTCCAAAAAAGAAAGACTTTCTGATAATAAATAAGTAACTTGAATGTCTGCCAAAAATATCTACTTTTAACACAGATTTGATGGTATACTGCTAAACAGGTACCATTTTTGATGCCTTAACAAAAGAAATGTATGCATATATATATCATTTTTGACATCATTATATATATATGTGGGGGTGAGGGAAGAAAACGATGAACAAATTAATTAGCAAAAGACATTTTAATGTAGACAAACAATTATAACATAAATTTAACATTTACGAGAAGTTAAAAGTAGGTTATTCATCAAATTTCTTTTTAACAGAAGCAGTGCCCTCTGCTCCAACATCAATCGTCCATCATCTAAAACGGTAATACCCCTAATTTATTGCTTTGTACTTTCAAAGCTCATAATATAAAGAATGACGTTAGAAAAAGGTATTTCTATTTTTAGAATAGAGAAGGGAAATTAAAGGGTTATCTCTAGTTTAAATTATAATTTTAAGATTTACATATTTTTTATCTTACACACACACACACACGCACATATATATATATTGCAAAACCACAACAGATTTTGTAAAAAATACAAAAATTTTCTCACAGTTGGCTGATATGTCAATAATGTTTGCTAAAGGAAAACACTTATTTCTTGAAATCAGAATACAGATCAACAATTAGCAATGTACTGATTATATCTGATCACTTTATTTACACACATATTCATGCCGTTGTTCAAAAATGTGAAGAAATAAATTATTATTCTGATGTGAGTTCTTTAAAAAACTGATCACTTTATATTATGATGTAATTAAAACAATATAATGGAATCTTATCTTTCATTATATCAGAACCTAAGAAAAAATTATTTAGAAAGTTTATCAGTCATTTCACATAGAATAAGCACATTATGTAAAACAACTCAGTAGCCTGAGGCAAATTTATTAATGTACAAGTGCAAAACAGATTAAATTACAAACACAACCTTTTAAGTGCTTTTTTAATAACAGGATTGGCTTTGTACAATATATGAGATAATTTTTTAAAGTAGCTATTGATTCTCACTTTTATATACTTACTATAATAAAATTGTTCATGAATTTTATTTAAAAAACTAATTTGGAAGCACCATATATATATATTAATCTAGTCCTGATTTACATTTTACATAAATTATTACTGTTAATGAGTATTCTCAAGTTTAAGATAAATCTACAAATATATTTCTCATTTACATAGACATCAGAAAAAGGAAAATTGCCGTAACAACACTTATGATTATAAAACCAACAAAAAAATAAAATCACAGGAATGTTTTCTATGTCATGTTGAGAATGCATTTATACTTCATTTGACTACTTGGAAAATACTCATATCTCTGGAAATATACAACTTAGCTGAGGCACAACTGTAGTGCAAGTTTTAAACTTTCAAATTCTACAGATGAAACAGCAGCATAATACACCAAAGTAGTTTCCAATAATTCACCACTTCCTGAAGTTTTATACAGCAGTTTCTTCCATGAGTTCACAGTTATTTTTAATAACAGCATGCCGCCAAGGGCGTTGCAGTGATTGCTATAATGGTTCAGTGTCCTGCATTAAGGGCTGTGATCCATCAGCTCTCTTGTGAATCACTTCAAAATGAAAGGCATCACCTGAGGCTTTACCTGTTTGGAGTGTGGGACTAGGAGAAGAATCAGAATGATGAGATGGAGGCCAGCTAACAACGGCTGAACTCTGATTGTCAGGGATGAATGCTGCTACCATTATAGCCATAATAACTAACAAAGCGCCAAATACAAATGGAGGCCCAGGTATGAGCTGAAAAACGTTAACACATTAAAATACAATATTTTTGTTTAACATAAATGAATAATGCAATATTAAAAAATTTGATACATAGACATTGTCACTAGTTTTTAAACTACACTTTCTATGATAAATGTCTGTAGTCAAATTATTTTTATTTTACACTTTCCGCAATATAAGGAACTGAGAGTTATCTAACTTCTTCATTTACTAAAGCAATACATCAAACGTAAGTTTTATACATAAATATTTTATAAAAACTAAACTCAGTGGTGTAACAGCCCTAATGGGCCAAGGCCTGCAGTGCCCAAAATCTTCTTTCTTGCCCGTGGGCCCCAGGTGCGTAAGCGTATGCCCTGAACAGGTGATCAGCTTGTCGCAAGAAACCCCAGTGTTTAGTCCGTAAGCAAACTTGGTACTTATTTTATCGACCCAAGTGATGGAAATCAAGGGGTGAAAGGCTGAGTCGACCTTGCCCAGCCCAGAAATTGAATCCCAGACTTGTAATGCTGCTGCGCGATGCGCTAGCCACTGCGCCACCAGGCCTAAAAATATTTTATTATCTTAGAAAAACTAAAATCTCCAATGCTTTCTCCACCCTTACCCCCAAAATACCAGACACTAAATATGCTTTTAACACTACACCATCTAAAATATTCTTTTTCAAATAGTTTTATAATTTAATATAAAGAGAAAAAAGGATGATTTTAATTGAACTCAATGCTCAATCTCTAAGTGAATTAAAAAATCTAACAAAACGAAAAGGGGGAGGAGATAATCTACTTATTAGAAATAAGTTAAAGAAAAATTTTTTCAAATGGTGAATTCAATGTCCTTAAAATTTTCAAGTTCATAAATTTTAACAATGCTAATCCTTACTATGATAATTAAAAAACATCAAGAATACATTTCTTCTTTCTAAATGAATTGTTTGTGCTAAAAGTCTTCTAAAAAATCTGATGTGTACACCGCATGACTTCCTTATATTAAATTTCATGCAATCTTCTTGCATTTCATTTAATCATATTGCGTATATGTGTATTTGATTATGGCAAAGCACACCAGGGCTATCTGCCTAAGGGGAGGAATGCATTCGTGTAGGACTTTCTAACGGAAACTGGCTCGTATACACGTTACACATGGGGAAAACCACGAAAACGCCCATGCAGCCAGCCCGTTCGCGGGATTCGAACCTCGGACCGAACTACCAGTATTCAGCGACATTACCGCTCAGCCGCTGGTGAGCCTAAACATATTGAATTAACAGTTAATGAATTTTTTTACTTCACCGATAGTGCAAAAGCCACAATAGAATAAAGGCACTCCTTAAAGTTCATTATATTTATTTACCATAGCGGCACTTTGACGCTAGGTTCACTTAACTCATTCATTTTATAACTCAGAGTGCACAAAAATTATATCTGAAGAATTATCACATGTTCTATTCAAATACTATAAGAAATCTAAAATCATGTATAAAAGAGATTAAACAAGAAACAGTTTTTCACAGACGATTCAGCTAATGTGCTTGCACTGCTAATTAATTCAGTTCTCTTATAGTTGAAAGGCAAAAATATATAAAAATTCAAAATATTTTTATTAAAAATTAAAAGATATAGAAAAACATAAAACACAAAGTACAATTAAAACAATTAAAAAATCATTTTTTCAATTAAAATTAGTTTCTACGCAAAAACAAGCAATTCAGCCAGCGAGAACGAAGGCACAGTTTTCGGTGCAGAAAAGTGAACGTTAACTTTTGGTTTCACTCGGCAAAAAGACACTGAAGGTGTAGAAACTGCCTCAATTTGTTTTGGACGCTATGCTGAGTCAATATATGAGATAATTTAATAACTTAAATGATAATTCCAGAATGAATTAAGCATAATTTAATTCGCAATAATAATAGAGGACGTTGCTTTGTTGTGAAGCTTAGTTTCTCTAGATTGGACACAAATCCACTATTCTGCTAAATTTCAAATGTAAACAAATATGGCTGCTATGGTAAACAAATTAGGCTTAGCCCCACCTAAACAAGTTTTAATTGTTGAAAATTCTACAACTATAACAAGCAGGTTAACTAAAGGCATAAAAACTTTAACTGCAAAATAAGAATAACAAAATTCAATCATTTTTAAAGCAAAAAATGCAAAATTTTACAAACGTATAAGAATAAAGAAACTGAGCTCACTGAACCGAGTAGCAGAGTGGATATATATACATATATTTATATACTTTTGGTGCAGCCAATTGCAACCAAATACTTTTCACATAATGCTATAACATGCAGGATAATATGCTATAACATGCAGGAGATGTGCACCTTCTACATGTTATAGCATGTTATCCTACTGCTATAACATGTAGGACATCTACATGTTATAGCAGTCCTATATACAAAATTTCAATGTTCTGAGGCTACTTGTTTTAGAGTTATGTGAGATACATACATACGTACGTACGTACAGATGCTACGGAAAAAAAATCTCTTCAGAATCCATTTTAAATGATTTTAATAATTTTTTTCAGGAAAAAGTGTTCTTTATTCTGTCCTTACGTACAGATGCCATGCAAAAACATTGTTAAATTGCATTTGATAGTGGTCAAAATAGATATTTTTGTTGAAATATGATACTCCAAATTTTTCACGACTACAATACTTCCTTTTTACTTCACATGTGGAAATAAAAAGCTTGTCTTAATATTAAGACTGAACACACACACACACACACACACACACAAAAAAAAAAAAAAAAAAAAAAAAAAAAAAAACCTAAGTTTCAGATTTTAAATTACATCTAAAGTTTTTTTTTTTTTTTTTAAACATTTTGTGTGTTTCCTTTATTTATTAAATATCATGTTCTATGCACTTAAACCATAAAATTCAGTTCAATAGCAATGTCGCAAAATAATTTTAAAATGAGCCTATTTTTAGAATTTCCGATACGCATTTCCGCGCACTGGAGATAAAAAGGTTTTTGTTTCCCCCCATAGATTGTTATCATTGCTCGGTTTGAAATCCTTGAGTTTCTTAATCAAAAATTTTTTAAAGTTTTACAAAATATAAAATCGATAATAAAACAAATTCCAAATTTGGTCTCCACATGCCCATATTCGTAAGAGGATTAAGTCATTCAAAATTCGATGGCTCTATGTATTATTGTTTTATAACAATACGAGAAATAGACATACATTTATGCAGATTTTTCATTATTTAATTTCTTCAAATATAATGCAGGACTCATTTGGTGGCAACAGTTTGAAAAGTGAAACGGACATTTATAGTGATTCAACACAAAATTGCAAAACAAAAACAATAGTCCTTCAGAAACAAAGCCCCTTTGGACTAATTATGTGTTGTCGATGCTGATATTTATTACAATAAAATTTCATACAGTCTATTCTCTTGGATAAAATTAATAAAATTTAGGAACCCGAATTTAATACGACTTAGAGAACCAGTATTCTAAGGGGTACTAGTTACAGCTTAAATGGTACTATTCTTAAAATTGCACAATTATAACAAAACTTTCTTTTTTGCAATTACTTTAATTATACAATTAATTACAACAATGAAGTGTGTTTCGATATTTCATAAAGTGTTGTCGTTGTACACTCCAAATCTACAAACCCCATACGAAAGTAAAGGAAGAAAATAACGTAACAACTGGTGTCAGAAGTGAAAACTGAGAACTACAGTGGAAAGGTATTCGACCTGGGTATATTATGAAAAGACTGAGACTGAAATTCCTTACGAAATTTAATTTAAAATTGTGATGTGTTTAATTTGCATATATAACTTGTATATAGTGTAAATATTTGTTTCTTTAGTTATGTTCCTTGTTTGTTTTATGTTTTTGATTGTATTGAAGTTGGCTTCTGGCCAAGAGTTGTACTGCCCAGGACATGCAGTCCTTGGGAGGGGGCAGTGTTACGAAATGTACAGGCGCGGTGAGATAGCTTTCCCGCAAAGCAGTTTTAGGGTTGCCATAAAATGGCAAGGGAAGGCAGGGTTATCACATTTGGCGATATGCCATGGATGGATGGAGAACCTTCTGGAACGAATTCTTACCGGTTTAGCCCAGAATGTTCTCGAACACAAGCCGAAAGCTATATAAACCCTGCTAGTCTGCAGTCAGTGTGTGTGTGCCTCGTCTAGAGTGCGAGTTAGTTAGTATCCAGTGTGTGTCTGGCCTAGCGAGTCAGTCCGTGCGGAGTCGATAGCCGGGCAACAAGTGCCGAGTGGGTCGTCGAGTGCACCAAAGGAGTCTGTTAGTGTATCACGGTTAGTGCATCATTGAGAGAGCATGTTGAGCTCCAGGAATGACTGAACTGAAGAGTTGAGAGCTGTGCTTGTGTGTCGGCGAGTGCATCGTGAGTTGTAGCGTGGAGAATCTCGAAAGTATGTGGAGTTCCGAGAACAATCAAGCAGAGTCGGGTGCTTTGCAGGAAGCAGGAAGCTGTCTCCACCGTGATAGCCTGATAACCTGAAGACTGTGTCACTGATTGTTCCAGCGTGTTTATACTAGATCTTCGACGACTGTAAAAAGTGTTATTGGAGCTGTCCTGATTAATATTGGCTAAATAAAGTGTGTTTCGATACTTCATCAAGTGTCATCGTTATACACTCCAAATCTACGAACCCCGTACGAACATAAAGGAAGAAAATAACTTAACAATATGTTTAATGTTTGGCAACGTTATTTTTATTTCATATTTTGTAAAACTTACAAATTTTTTATTAACAAACTCTAGCATTTTTATCTGTTGCAACTCGGAAAAATGAGTGCAAAAATTAGTTTTTTCAGAGTTTTTAATAAATATTTCGGCTGATTATAAAAAACCTATAAAGACGGGAACAGTTGGAATGGCTTCCCACGAATTTCTGGGATCGGGAATATTATATTTAATGTTTGGCAATGCTATTTTTATTTCATATTTTGTACAACTTAGAAATTTTTTCATAACAAACTCTACGATTTGAAAATGAGCAATGGCAACAGTTCAAAAATAAAGCAGATTTTTATCTTCAGCATGTGAGACTGTTGCCACTAGGAAAATATAGTGCAAAAATTAGCGTTTTCAGAGTTTTTAATTAATATCTCCGCTAATTAAAGTCGTACAAAGATGAGAATTGTTGAAATGGCTTCCCACAAATTTTTGGAAACTGGGAGTACCTCTCTCGAAATTCAACTCTCCGCCATTCCGGAGGTGATAATGCCAAAAATAAACAAACAGATGCATACAGATTTTAATAGTATAGATTTTGTACTTGAGTTTCTCTTGGCTGGCAGATATTAATAACAAAATATTTCATAAATTTACGTTATTTATACTATAACAACGCACTCACCCTTGGCTCTTCAGCAATTAAAATAGTTCCATTCGCAGCATGAATGATGCCATGGACATTGGCTGGAATAGTTTCAGTAATGTCTTCACTTAAATCTACATGAAACAGATAAAAGATGAAACCATATACTGCAGGTCCAAGTCCATTGCACAATCCCCTCATACCAGTGATAATTCCTTGAACCAACCCTAAAAAATAGCATTAAAATATCAAAAGACTGTCTTAAAATGTATTTTAAGAAGAAGGACAAAAAAACTCGGGGAAGAGAAGGGATATCAATTCCTATTTTATAATTTTTTATTTGAATTTCTCTGAATTAATTTTAGACCAGTTGTTTGGACATGTATTTACATGTATTTAATATTTGCATTTTTTTGTCTTATTTATTTTATCAGTATTTAATTCTATGTTATCATTAATATACAATAATCTTGTTACTGGCAACATGTTTTGTTTTACTATTGAATTTTGTGTTACTAGAACAATATCTTTTTTTTTTTTTTTTTGTATGAAAATTAGAAGAATAATTTCTAAGCCTCACTGTGCTGCAGGCATTTTTCAGTATAATACTATTTCATGCTTTTTAATGTTAATAAAATTTAAATAAAAAATTAAAGCTCATTCTTTGGTCCAAGGTGACTGACATTGATTTCCCAGGTGAGGCTTGTTAAACAGAAAATATATATTTCAGAACTGTCTTTAACGAACATTCAAGTACTAACACTGCAGATCATCTTGATGCCATTAGGAATATAAGTGGAAATATTTTTTACTATTCAAGTATCTCAGTAAGTTATTTATGTTTATCATGGTAATAATGACTCAATTAAGTGAAGTCGATCTTAAACTATTACGAGGACAAGCGAAATCAATCTTAACTAGGCTTCATAATAGTTTTAATGATTTTAAGCCAAACAAAATTAAAAGTGCAATTGGAAAGTATTGAACAAATATTTAAGGAATTTGATCAATATGACGCTGCTTTACCCTAAGCTTCTGAAATTACTGAATATGAATCTAAATATTTCGAAACAAAAGTAATGTATCAATCCACCACTGAAGTCCAGGAGTGATCCAATTTCAAATCCCACTACAGTCGAGGCTAGCTCTACACTTCCTCGTTTAAACATTCCAAGTTTCAAAGGTAAAAATTCAGAAATTCCAGCATTTAATATGACTTTTAATGGACGAACCAGCTGCTAGGGATGAATCAGAATTTCCGAAATTATATATGATGAGGCTTGAGCATACCTGCCAACTTTTACGAATTTTTCGTAAATTTTATGAAAATGCATTTGTCTTTACGATTTTACGATCGTAATCCATGTTTTACGAATTTTTCCCTTTTTCAAGTGTTTTTAGTGATTTTTGTCGGAAATTTTAGAATTTTTTCCCGAATTGCATCGTGTTTTACCGCCAACTACCGACTACTTCGAATCCAGTGAACCTGCGGTTTCTCCCAACTCGCCGCTTAACCAGCCAATCCAATGCACTGAACTTATTTCTCCCACTCTTTTCTTTATGGGCGCCATATAATTTTTTTTCGCGTTTGCTTCAGCAGCAAGGGAATTACTCAGCGAACGTGGATTGTCGCATTCTGTTTTTTTTGTTTTTGTGTGCACGTGCTACGAATTTTCTTAATACGTCGTTGTTACGAAATGAGTTAAAAAAACCGTATTCTCAATATTTTCGGCCTGCCTACAAAGCCGAATTTCCAACAATTAAAGAATCCTTCAAAGGAAATAACTATGCATTTTGCAATATGTGCGTGTGTGACTTCATAATAAGTCATGGTGGAAGAAGCGACATTGTGGAGCATGTTAAGTCTAAAAAGCATGAAGTTAATGCTTCGGCTTCGACAACGTCAAAGAAAGTGGATTTTTTTTTTTTTTTTTTTCTTTTCAAATTCGGCTACGAATTCAGATGCCGATGTCATTTTGGCAGAGTGTTTGTTTACTGCATTCCTCATCGAACACAACGTGCCGCTAAGCGCTGCCGATCACGCTGGTCAACTTTTCAGACGGATGTTTCCTGACTCCAAGATTGCTCAGAAATATGCTTGTGCTCGCACGAAAACATCTTCTATTGTGAACGAAATTGCTTGCGATGCACAAAGTAAAACGATAGCTGCACTCCAGAATTCAGCATTTTCGGTGTCAATTGATGGCAGCAACGACAGCGATTGGAAGCTTTACCCCATCGTTGTCACATATTTCTGTGATGTTTCTAATGAAATGAAAACTCATATTTTGCGTCTTCCATTGTTAAATGGAAACGCTATGGGGGAAAATATTGCCTCCTTGGTAATTAATGAGTTGAAACAACTTAACATCCCAATATCAAACTGCATTTCATTTGGTGCAGATAATGCTCATGTCATGGTGGGTGACAAAAAGGGTGTAGCCTCTTTCCTCAAAAAAGAACAAAATGAATTAATTGTTATTGGATGCCCGTACCACTTAATTAATTTGGCAGCAGAAAAAGCTGCAGCTGCTTTACCATTAAATATTGACCAGCTTCTGACTGATGTGTTTTTCTATCTGGAAAAAAGTGTAAAAAGGAAAGAAAACCTAAGGAATTTCCAAGAACTGTACTCTGGTGAAAGGAGAAAAATTCTGAAACATGTATGCACGAGATGGTTATCCTTAGGCAGAGCGCTAGGAAGGTTTATTGAACAGTGCTAAAATACTTCCACGAAGAGACCAAAACGAAACCACAGATCCCATCAAATTTGTCAGCATAAGATTTCGAAAACCAACTTTGCTTCTAAACAAAATGCTTTAAAAGGGAAAAGCCAACACACAGAATCAAACCCTTTGAAAAGAAAATGCTTAGAAGACTCCTCAAAGGTCAACTTTGTTAAAGAAGTTGAAGGGAAGAAGAAACAGTCTTCTATTAGCCGGGAGGAAAGGATTTTCTATCTTCTTTCTTCGGATTTGAACAAAGCATATTGTAGTTTTGTGTTAAGTACCATTAAGATTTTTGAAAGTGTAAATACCCTTCTACAATCAGCTTCGCCAAAATCTCCCCTGCTTATCCAAATTCTTAATGATCTTTTGAAAGAACTTAATACTAAGTTTCTAAAACCGTCCGTTGTGAAAAACAGTGTGTTGATTCGTGTTGCCTATAATAGTTTGGCAAATCAAAAGGATGACAATGATCTTATAATTGGAAATCAAACCAGGGAACTTGTAAATTCTTTGAAAGATCATGAGAAAAAAGAATTTTTTTCAATGTGTTAGAAAGTACTTTTCTTCAGCCTGTGATTACATTGTAAGGAAGTTTCCTTTGCAAAATGAAGTTCTTTTAAATGCTGAAGTGGCAAATTTGAAACAAATTGAACATTCATCTTTTGAAAAGACTCATTTTTTTATTGATAAATTTCCATTTTTGTTAACAATTAAAGAAAATGAATGCCATAATGATGCTTTAGATGAACTACAGAACCAATTTTCTGCTGCACAGTTTGAAGACTTTGCCAGTTCTGGAGAAGATAGACTTGATGTCCTCGTTGTTACCTTAAAAAGAATAAAAAGAGCTGATGGAACACCAAAATATGATAGACTAGCAAGAGTTTTATGTGCTATTCTCATAATTCCACACAGTAATGCTGAGTGCGAGAGTGTCTTCAGTGTTGTGAAGAAAAATAAAACTATGTTTCGTTCTTCAATTTCACCAAAAACTCTAGAAAACATTTTAATTGCTAAATGTTATGAGGAAACTAATGTTACGACAGGAACTTTTCCAAAGAATTTTTGGCTAAAGCCAAAAAATGCATTCTAAATTCATTGCAATAATTTTTTTGTGTAACATTAAGTTCTTGCTTTATGTTTCCTAATAAATTTTTTAGTTACTACTTAATTGAGATTTACTAATGTAAGTACAATTTTTTTTTCTATTTGTATAAATTGTTATTTTTTTAATATCAAAGCATAATATTAATTCTTCGTGTTCTTCTGAATTTTGGAGAAATCTTCTGAATTTTTATCTTTAGAGGTTGGCAGGTATGGGCTTGAGACAAACTGATGAATCGTTATAACAGAAAAATTCAATTTGTCATATTCACTGGTCAGAACATTACTTCAGCAACCCAGAATTGCTGATGCTAATTCTGTTAATCTAAGAAAAGAAGAAAAAATGCCTGCATTTACGTAGAGGGACTTAATGATTCTGAAGCAGGACTGACTAATGTAAAGTTGTTTTTAAATCTTAATTGAAGAAAAATGATGCTTTAACACAAGAATATATTCTTAAAAAATTAATTTCACATTTGCCTTCAGAAAAAACTGCCAGCAAAGAACCTCACTATTTGAATTCAATTAATCTTGCCAATCTGAATTTCAGTCTGCCCAAACATATATACATGCTAATAGGAGCTGACTATTTCTTTTCTCTCCTTCAGCCAGGGCAAACTGTTGGTTATTAAAATGCAGTTGCGCATTACATACTGAGAATAATATCAATGCAACACTTAAGCGCTTTTGGGACACTCGAAAACCAGAATTCAATGGTTGAAGAAGAGTTTGGTGAGAAGCATTTTAAGGAAAACTATCCAGTAAACGAAATTGGCAGATTTTGTCATCCGACCACCCACTTACAGTAAAGCTGAAGTGTTAGACGATTTCAAACCTTTGGCTATTTCCTGTCTTTTATCCATGGGAAGAAATTTTGAATTAAACAAAGAGCTTGGCAATACAAGGTGTTCATTGCAAGAATATGAAACTTTAAATCATATGGCCCCAGTTGTTCAGACTGAAGATAATAGTCAGGTATATTATCTACCATATCATGCTGCTGTAAAATTGAGTTCGGCAGTTAAATGGGTGGTACCAGACTTTATTGGGCAGCTTGTATATATTCTTTAATTTAAGAATGGTTGCTTGATAAGTTCTTTTGAAAAGTGGCTTCCTTTATTTAACAGGTATTGGAGAATATATGATCAGATGTATGAACAGAATACGCAAAATTTTCCTATATGAAATTATACAGTGTTCCAAGTTCAAATAATGCAAATTTTTAAATGTACGGCAAGTAGCCCTCATTGGGTTAGAGCTATCCAATTATAAAATGTTAGTTTTTATTTCATTTCATTTCATTTTTTTGACAAGAGAAATATTTTTTTGAGTCCTTCAGAAATGATATACAGTCAAATACCGAAAATCTACTGACTTGAAATCCGCTTTGCCTCTCAGAACATAAACATTCAGTTTATAGGTTCCGGAAACCACAACATTGAGTACGAAATATCAAAGAAAAAAATACTTACCGAATAATAATGAGTCAAAACGGAAATACCAAATTATTGATATAAAAAAGTTAAAAATACGAAAATAAATAAGATACGTTTTCCCCCATCTAATCTGCATCGAGGTAAAAAAGAAGACAACGCGACGCATGCGCAGAAAGTTTGTAGCTTTGAGGTCTGGATTATAGATCATTCCGGATTATGGGTGTCCGAATTAACGACTTTTGACTGTACAAGGATTGTTTGAAAAGTAAGTTCCATTACTGTGCAAAAAAAAAAATGGAGACACGTGGATAAAGTTACATACTTAATAATAATTTACAAACATTCCGCTACTTTCTGGTGTAGCCAACCAGCAAATTAAGTCATTTGTTGTATCGAGAAACAAGATTTTGTATGTCGACGTAATAGAAGATGCCCACCTTTGAGGTTAACTAGAATGCTATGGCAACTTTGATTTCTTCATCATCATCAAAACACTGACCACTCAATAATTGCTTCAACTGGAAGAACAAGTGAGTATCCTGTTAATATATCCACCCGTTCATGATATTGACAACACCAACAGACCTGGGTTCGAATCCTGCAGAAGGCATAAATTGCTTGTAATCCTATAGTGCACATGCGGCAAGGGGACATTCGAAGTAAATGGTGAAGCAAAAGTTCTCTTGACAGAATGGTGACAGGTGAAGAGAGATGGAAAACCTCAGATCACCCCTGTGGTGTTCTTCAAAATAGGATGGAATTGCATAGTTATAGTGGGACTAATACAGTTCCAATGGGCTGTGCCCCACAGCACAGTTAGAGCAGTAGGATTATATCAATAGTCAACTTCTGGTATCCCACTCACTTCTACCTATACATCCAAGAATAGGTAAAAGTCACTTGGTGCCATGTCAAGGCCATGCAGCAGATGATTCTCCAACTGAAGGACAAGGGCCAGATTTAGACTTAATAAGGCCCCAAGCTATTTGAGATATTAGGCCCTTTATAAGTCTGTTATAATATATTTTAATACTATTTATACTATATTTTAATTTTTGGGGGGGCCCCAAGAAAGTGGGGGGCCCTAAGCTATAGCTTGTGTAGCTTATACGTAAATCCGGCCATGTGAAGGACTCAATGAGATCTTAAATCTCACCAGTGCAATGTAGCCTGGCACTGTAGTGCAATAAACTAATATCATCGCTAAGCAAGCTACAGCTCACAAGTAAGTGCCTGTTTTGAATAAAAGATTTTTTTCACTGTTGTACTGTAAGTAGCAGCATTATCTGTTTTGTCTCCAAGTGTGAAATCCACCAATATAATTCCTTTTCTGTCCTAGAAAACAGTGCATATGATTCTGCATGTAGAAATGGTCTGTTTGAATTCCTCCTGGATCAATGAGGGGAGGTGCTTCCACTTCATTGGTTGTTGTTTTGACAATGGTACAACATGGCAAATACAAGTCTTATCGCCAGAGACAATGTGGTTGTATGAAATCAGAAAGGTCAAGCAGCAGCAATGCGTTTAGCTTTATGCTCCTGGAAGCATTCTGGGCCACCATGCATAACACTTTTCAGTAATACAAGTGTTCAGTTTCAGTAACAATTTCATACTGAATGATATGCAAAACTTCATGAAACGCCAATGAAAGACTGCAGATCGTGAAACATCCATATGCACATATTTTTGCATGAACTTGATAAACCAGTTCATCATTCACAGCAGATGGCCAGCCACTTCTGGCTTCATGATGCATATCATTCTGCTTTAAATGAAGAATTAAACCCATCTTCTAATCATTCCTTCACTCAGAGCTGTATAGCCACTCATCTCACAGATTTTCCTTGTATTCAAAAAGCAAATACAGAACAAATTTCAGACCTTCTTTAGTCTTAATTATCTTTGGCATAAGATTTACATGTGTCAGTGTTTCATCATACGAACTTTCTTGTTGTGCCACATTCTTTACTCATTGAAGATGTGATATACCACATCGGCAGATTAGTGCCAACTGTTAGGTTTAGGAATTTTTACACTCTGGTACTTACATTTCGAATAATCCTCGTGTATTATAAAACCTACTCTGCCTTCCCCACCCCCCAAAAAATTTACCCAAATAATTACCTTGCTTATCAGCATCAGCATGAGTTGAAACAAATGAACTTATGGCAGGATATGTTATACTAGAAACTGAAGCCAAAACTCCAGCAGCCCACATCATCCTATAAAAAGTATTAAAATATTTAAAAAATTATGTAAGAAGCACAAAGAAAAGTGACATAAATTATCTTTAAACATGCAAAATGAAACAAAGAAGAGATCACACTAATTATGGTACTGCAATCAGTGACTGCAGATATTTACAGTTCAAATAATTTACCAGCATATCTGTATACATTATTCCCATAAAATCCTATATAACTTTCTCTGCCTTTTGTTAACTTAAAGGAATTGCTATTTGATTATTGCAAAGTCATCTGTGGAAAATCCCCCCAAATGATTTATGTATCGCAGTCAGAGGGCGCTTCGCTTCTGAGAAAGAATGTTAGTTTTTCAGTTTGCCACGTAGTTAGTAGTAAACCATCGATGCAATCCAGGTTGCTTTGTAAATAAAATGATTATTTTTGTAGATTGTTGAAGTATTTAGCTTCTTTTAGAATTAGATCAACCTTTCGCAATATGGCGCATCTGTGCCGAGAACCTTTGGCCAATTTAGAAGTTTGTGTTTTTTAATTTTGGATAGCATTTTATGCGAAGACAGCCAAGGTAAGCCTGTATTTTCTAATTTGATATAATATGAAAGATCTTATTGCTAAACTGAAATCAAAACGAAAGGTATTGAGGACAGCAGTGTCCAAGATATTAAAGAAAATTGAAACCGAACTAAGTAAAGATGATAGTAGTATAAATGTAAATGTATTAGAAGAAATTTTGTTCTTGTTGTTACTAATCTCCATGCCTAGGAATATACTAGATGAGGTCTACGAGTCCATTCACCTTTAGAAAATCGAAAACCAGCTTAGGAGACCCGTAAAGCTCCACAAGAGACAACTCCAGGCACTCAAGGATATGCTCCGGTGATGCGAGTGCATTGTGACACTTAGAACAAATTGGGTGCATCTTGATACCACTCTCAAAAGTAAGTCCCCTCAAGTGCCCACTGAAGAATCGGGAAAGTGTTGTCTGAACACATCTTTCGCAATCCATAGCAAGGATCTTCCACGACAATCAGCTTGATACCAGGAATGACTCGGGGGAACAAGCCAAATTTGCCTGTCAGCATGTCTTCTAATGGAATGCAGTTCAAGATATGTCAGTGAATTGATAATTGGCAAATGTTCTTCAGAAGCCTCCCTCGCCAGAATGTCTGCCATTTCATTCCCCCATATATCAACGTGGGAAGGAATCCACTGAAGGCACACTTCACAGAGTGACGAGACCTGGCTAAGTCTGCTAAGAATTGCGGCTCCGGCCCTATCACCAACTCTTTGCCAGTTTGAAAGATATTTGATAGCGCTACGACTGTCAGACAAAATCCATACTGCCTTAAGATCTGTAAAGTACAGTAAGAGAAATTTTAGACCAGTTAAACGAAAAATCAAAATCCTTGAGCAATTTAGATGCTCAAATAGAACGAAAATTAAAAGTCGAAGCGGACAAACTTGAACTTGAAATCTCATCCGTTTTGGAATATGAAGAGAAAATTCAAGTGTGGCAGTTTAGAGGAAAGAAAAAGTTGAAAGAATTGAATAAGCTAGAAAATTTAGACAATGCAAGTAGGGACATTTCTAATGAAACCGTTACAGAATCCCAAAACGAAAGTAACAAATTTACTCATCTTCCAAAATTAACCATCTCTAAATTTTATGGTGATCCGTCGGATTGGTTAGAATTTATAGGTCAGTTCGAAAATGCGATTGATAAAAATCCGAATTTATCAAAAATAGAAAAATTAATTTACTTGAAAAGCTTTCTTGGTGGCTCAGCCACCAAAGCTATTTCTGGTTTCGCTCTTATAGAAAATAATTACGAAGCTGCTCTTGAACTGTTATGTTCCAGATTTGGTCAAACGAACATCTTAATTAATTCACATTTAGAAAAACTCGTAAGTACTTCACCTGTTAAAAATCCTAATGATATAAACAGATTAAGAAAACTTCTCGATCACGCCGAAGTACAGATAAGAAATCTTGAAGCATTAAAAATAGACTCTGATACCTACAGAAATCTGTTAACGCCTTTAATTTTGAAATTACTCCCTAATTAATTCGTTCTTGATTATAGCCCAAAAATTAAAGACGAAAATTGGGATTTAAAAGGTCTGTTAGCCTTTTTGAGGAATGAAGTATTCAGTAGAGAACGCGCGGCTTCTGTTAATTATAACTCTAGAGAGAAATATTTGCGATTGGAAAAGCATCTGCCCTTCAAACCTAAACATTCTTCCAGCCATAACGAACAAGCCGTCTACAGTTGAGCCATTAGCGCGTCAGCCAAATCGCAGTGTCTGTTCTGCGGGAACACAAATCATAAATCTGCGGATTGTGAAATTTTAATTGTGGAAAAGAAAAAAAGAGATTTTGAAACGGGTAGCCCGATGTTTTTCATGTCTGGGTCAATTTCATTGGATGCAAAACTGTAAACAAAAAATAAACAGCACCTTCTGCTTTAATAAACACTTGAAAGCCATTTGTTATTCATTCCATCCGAAAAAAAGATAATGAAAAACCTGAAAATGTCACATTCGAGCGTTATTTCCACTGTTTCGTCATATAATTCTGATGAAAATAGATCTAATAAAATATTATTACAAACGGCTTCTGCATAGATCCAAAATAATGATAAATTTAAAAATGTCAGGATTCTTTCTGATAATGGCTCCATGAGATCTTTCATAACTAAAGATATATTTAGTAAAATGGAGCTTACGATTGTTAGAAAAGAATCACTTCCTGTTTATTCTTTTGGAGATAAAACTGCTTTAGAAAAATCCTTTAATGTTGTTAGAGCAAAACTAGAAAATGTTAACGATCCTAATCTTTATATTGATCTTCTTGAAACCGAAAATATATCCAATACTGTTATCTCCCCTCCAGATTTGAGCTTTGCTAAGAAAAATAAAATTTTACAAAATTTACAATAACAGACTGTTGTAGAAAAAGTGACAAAATTGATATTCTCATAGGGGTAGATTTCTACTATTCTATAATTACTGGTAAAACTAAAAGTATTTCAAGAAATGTAGTAGCCACAGAAACTTTATTTGGGTGGTGTTTGCAAGGTAAAGTAAATAATGATCATAGTGAATTATTAACTATGAAAGTAATTGTAAATGAAAACTTGATATCAGATCAGTTACAACAGTTTTGGAAGCTAGAAAACTTAGGTTTGGAAAGTGATACTCAAAACGACAAAACTGTTGATTTAGAAATTATGAAATCTTTCGAATCCGATATCAATATATAAGAACGGCAGATACCAAGTAAAATTACCTTGGAAACCGAATTCAAAACATTTAATGGAAGATAATAGGGACTTGAAAGATTTAAGAAAATGAGTAACAAATTTAAAATTTATAACTCTTTGTTTGTTCAATACACAGAGGTTTTAAAGGATTCCGAGTTAAAACATATTATTGAACCAGTTCAGGAAGACAATCAAAATGATAAAACCCTATTTTATTTACCTCATAGAGCAGTCATCAGAAATGATAGAGAAAAAAGCAGACTAAGAATAGTTTATGATGCTTCAGCCCATAAACCAAAAACACTCTAAATGACTGTTTATATACTGGTCTGAACCTATATCCTGATATTTTTTATTTATTGATAAAATTTAGACAAAATTCAATAGCTTTTACAGTGGACATTACACAAGCATTCTTACAGATAGAGTTAAATGAAGGAGACAAGGGCGTTACACGATTCTTTTGGAAAGATGATCCTGATGATAACAATGATAGTTTGAAAAACCTTTAGATTTACAAGAGTTTTGTTTGGAGTAAAATCTAGTCCCTTTCTCCTAGCTGCTACTATTAAGCATCACCTTAAAAAATATTCAGAAATATATCCTGAAACAGTAGAAATCTTAAACAACTGCCTGTATGTTGATGACATTATTGGTGGTCAACAAAATTTAGAACAAGCCCTGAAAACAAGTTCAGAAATTGTGAACATTTTTAATGAAGTTAGCATGTCACTACATAAGTCGCATACTAATTCCAAGAACTCAAAGATATTTGGCATCGCAAAGAATTTTCGAAGCAAGAAAAGAAGTTGTCCCGATCAAGTGTTAGGAATTAACTGGGATAATGGATACGGCTAATGATAATTTTTTTTTGACACTCAGCACTTGACAAATTTCATTTCCTCGTCAATCAACTCAAAACGTTTTCTATTGCAAACCGCAGGCCATATTTTTGATCCTGTCAGATTTTATGGCACTTTCACTATAAGAATAAAGGAAATCTGGTCTGCCAAAATTGATTGGGACGATGAACTGCCACCTGATCTTAGTTATAAATGGAAAGCCTGGTACGAAGAAATTGAAGAACTGAACCACCTCAGAATTCCCCGCTACTATTTAGAGGGAATATTAGATGCAGATGTGAAACAAAGAGAACTCCATAGCTTTTCTGATGCCAGTTTGAAAGCTTATGGATGCATGGTATATCTAAGAATAGTTTTGAACAATGGAACTTTTCAAACAGTTTTTGTTGTTGCTTCAAGAGTAGAGTTGCACCTCTGAAACTCAACTTACACTTCTAGACTGGAGCTTTTGGGTGAGCTTTTATCTGCTAGATTGAGTGATAAAATCGCAAAATGTTTAAAATACGAAGTAATCCCCTTCCACTGGACTGATTCTCAAATAACGTATTTTTGGATTTATGAATCTCCCGAAAGATTTAAATCTTTCATCAAAAACAGAGTTTATGAAAGCAATAACTGGCTTGATTGCCATGGGAAAGATAACCCCTCCGACCTCATATCATGAGGAACTACTGTTGCTAATTTAAGAAATTGTTCACTTTGGTGGTCTGGACCAGAATGGTTATAAAACAAATGTATAGACTGGCCAGTTCAACCGAAGTTTGACGTGGGAAACAATAAACAACTAGAACGCCGTAGTAAGATATTTGTTTATGATATTGTTGTGAAAAGAGATGATCAACTATCGGATATAATAAAATTCAGTAATGTGCTGAAATATCTCAGAATTATGGTATGGATTAGACGTTTCGTTGCTAAGGCGAGAAAACTGCCTGCTAATAGTGGAATATTAAGTGCTTCTGAAATTCAGGACACTGAAATTTTTTGTGTTCGTAAAGCCCAGATGGATTTCTTCACACCTGAAATTAAGGCTCTTCAATCTAACAAGTCAATTTCTCCAAGCTCTGATATATTCAGCTTGGCACCGTTTCTTGATGAAAATAAAATTCTTCGAAATTAAGGGAAGATTAGAAGAAACCGAAATATACAGTTGACGAAGAAACATCCAGTTCTTTCTTTCCTAAAGATTCCAAATTTACTGAATTGATTGTAAAAAGGGAACATAATAACGTTCTGCATGCAGGAGTTGCAGCAACTTTAGCTAAAGAACAACAGATAATTTTGGATTTCCTAAAGGCCGTCAGTTGGTAAAGAAAGTCTTAGGAAATTGTTTAATTTATTGAAAATATGCAGTAAAACCAAGCGAAACCAAATGACAGCTCAGTTACCTAAAGATCGGAATTGTTGAAACTCCACCTTTCTTATGTTACAGGCATGGATTTCACAGGTCCAGTTTACATCAAGTCTGGAAACGACATTTAGAAATCATACATCGTATTGTTTACGTGCGTTGTTACACGAGCATTACATCTAGAACTCATTTCCAATATGTCTGCAAACAAATTCATATTGGCTCTCAGACGTTTCATTTCAAGAAGAGGAAACTGTTGCACCTTTTATTCAGACAACGCGAAAACTTTCAAATATGCTACCAAAGATTTACAGTATTTTTACAGCATAATTAAAGCTACAGACTTCAAAATTTTCTAGCAAATGAAGGCTTGACTTCGAAATTTATCTTCGAGCTTGCTCCATGGTGGGGAGCTTTTTATGAACGCCTTATGAAAACCATAAAGGAACCGTTGAAAAAAATATTAGGCAGAGCTCAACTGAATTTTGAAGAATTTATGACTGTGTTGACAGAAGTCGAAAATATTGTGAATAGACGTTCTTTGAAATACGTGTACAACGATTTACATGAACCTGAACTGCTTGCACTGGCTGATTTTCTACCGATCGGACATAAGGATGAATATCCATACAACTTTGCTGAGATCCTGACTAACTCTCCAACAAGAAAGAGTCTAATAAAACAAAAAGAATATCAGACAACACTTATAAAACAGTTCTGGAAAAATGGAAAAATCAGTATCTTTTTCAGTTAAGAAATGCTCACTTCTTCGGTAGACTACAAGCCAAGAAAAATCTTAAAATTTGTGATAATAGTTTTACTTGACAGAACAACTAAATCTAAGTTCCTCTGGGATTTAGGTCGAGTAATTCAAGTCTTTAAAGGACGTGATGGTCTTGTACGATCATGTGTGGTAAAAACTAAAAAGGAGACTTTAAGAGACCTGTGCAATTGATATACCCCTTGAACTATCAGACTGAAAATGAACTAATTTTGTAACCTTTTAATTTTATTTCTTATATTTCATGTTCACTAACATTAAATTTTGATAATAAGTTTAGTTATTACTAATAATTTACTGTTTGTAATTCAAATTAATATTTACGTATTGAGTAACATTTGAATTGATGCAGTTAACTATATTTGTTTATTTTATAGAATTTCCTTTTGCAGTTTATATTTACATTAGTTGAATGTACTTGATATGTAAGTTACTTTCTTACATTTTTATTATTTGTATGCTGAAATAGTGATAATTTTTGCAAAAATTATCAGGTGGGGAGTGTGGAAAAACCCCCCAAATGATTTATGTATCGCCGTTAGAGGGCGTTTCGCTTCTGAGAAAGAATGTTAGTTTTTCAGTTTGCGACGTAGTTAGTAGTGAACCTTTGATGCAATCCAGGTTGCTTTGTAAATAAAATGATTACTTTTGTAGATTGTTGAAGTATTTAGCTTCTTTTAGAATTAGATCAACCTTTCGCAATATCATCTCTAAGGTACTATCTATCTTTAACAAGGGATGCTAATGTGGAGGACTTTAACAGGGAAAACCATATTTACAAAACACACGAGGAAAACCTTATGCAGCCACTTTATCTAAGCAGCAGCAATAGAACGCGTGATGAATTTTTAATGCTTCATGACTCTAACCAACGGTCAATATTAATTCATAGACAGAGACAAAATGAATTTCATCCTGGTAGCAATATGATCTACAATTATTTCAAACTTTTGCTTCTTAATAAGAGTGATTCTTTTTTTACATGTGGCATTTATTTTTCAGAACATGAAGTCTAGATTATTTGTGTTAATTTGTTCTTTCAAACAATATTAAAAATGAGTAAGTAATAAATATATTAATATATTAACCAATTACACTTAAGTACATCTCAATTGTTACAATAATCTAAAATTTTTAAAAATAATTCCACTTAATAACCAAAAACCGTTATAAATAATTTCATAGAAACTTTACAGGAAGCCTACTGTTGTATCTGTTGTTGTATCTCATTGTCTCTCCAAAAATATGCGAATCCAGTTAAGCTATTAACCAAAAAATAAATTATAACAGCATCAATAAACAGAATTCTAGAAACATTATTTCTCCAAACAGGATATACCTGCTAAACTCTTTTTTTTTTTCTTATAATATTTCTTTAAAAATATTTATTTGATGTGTGATACTTATCATAAACATTAGAGAAAAAGAGATAAAAATTAATGCTTTTATAAACCTTCATTTCAATCCTTTAAAACTTTCATTTTTCTCTTTCTTCTTGCAATTGGTTGAAGGGTAATTTCTTGAATATGGATTGGCTGTAAAATGATTTATCAAAGCATAATCAGGTTCTGTTGCTAATATTAGCTGCATACTTGTCAATCTACAACACTCAAAAATCAGAAGATTTTTCCCAAACATGAAAAGAGTTTTTAAATGATAAAGTAATTTTTTAATAATAAATTAAATTTGAATAGTTATTAATTAATAGAGTACAAAGTCCAAGATCCGGTATGATCTAAAATCCAGACCTCAAAGCCACCAACTCTCCTCCCTTTTTTCCCCTTAATATGCTTTACGTTTTCACATTTGATTCACTGCCCCACGCATGATAAAACATGTGGTGAGTCCCAATTCGTAATTTCACTTTGCCACTACATAAAATACCCCATTATTGAAGAAACAATAATTTTAGCATAAATGTGGTATGATCGGGGATTTGGCTCTAATCCGTGTCTGCTTGGTATACATCTCAAACCGAAACATTCTACATAGATACATCGTTGATTTTACACCTACTAATATTTTATATCCCTGGTGCCAACCTAGCGAATCATTAGTTATTAAATTTTGCTTTCATCACCCCATGTTTATCAACACCTGACAGCTTGAGTAATACTCATGTAGCGATGAATAAACAATACTTTTTATGTTAGTAATTGAATAATAAAGAGTATGGCAACGTTTTGTGTTGACATTACACTTGGCGACGATTACAGATTTAAGTTAAATGCAATAAGAAATGTTTACGAAGAAAAATTCAACAAAAATTTCTTTCAATATGCTAAAAATTGATTTTCTTAATGATACTCATAGGCCAGAAGATTATATTATAGCTATTTGTATTAAGAATTGATTATAGTATTAATTGATTTGTTATTCACATAAACCTGGAACCAGCGCCAGGGCTCGTATGGCCGCACCGGGCGGCAGAATTTAGGGAAAACAAAGGGAGGCACTTGGTAGTAGAATCTGGGACCTACAGAGACTGCACCAGGCGGTAAGATATATAGCATCGACCCTCAATAAGCCTTAAGTAAATGTGGGAATTTATTTATTCAGGACTCAGATAAGTGTGTGCAAAAAATAGACATAATTATATTAAATAACTAAACTAATACAATTCAGGCTTAACTGTCTCAGAGCATGATAAAAGCAAGATAAAATTTAGCGGAACAACTTGCCTTTAGTCGCCAATCTCATGATACACAGCCAAATATGTATAGTGAACGATAGCTAAATTTTATGACAGCCATAAATTTTAAAGGTTTTTGTATATGACAAACAAAAAGGTGAAATTTTCCAATTAAAGGATTTTGAAAAAAAAAAAAAAAAAAAAGTGGAGAAGCGGTAATAAATGATGATGATATAGAAGAAGATTTTCATTGGATGACAATGCTCCTCAATCATCAATTCAATTAAAGAATGGCAAAATCTGCAATGTGGTACTAGATCAAGAAAATATCACTACTGATAGTGAAGAAAGTGAGAGAATTTACTGAAAATGGGAAAATTTCAATTAACAAATTAATCGGAATTGTCGACACGGCAATTACAGGAATTCAACAATGTAACTAAACAATAAATTATGTCTGTCTAGAGAATTAAAGAAAAACTATTAGCACAAAAAACGAAGCAACTTAAACAAAAAGCCTATGAGAAAAACTATGCTGGTGGTTTTGAAGGCCCGGATTTTAGATCATTCTGGATATTGGACGCCCGGATTTCGCAATTTGTACGGTACTAGGGTTGAATGGATTTTGTTTTATATGAGAATGGGAAGGTATTTTCTTTTGTTCAAGATGCACCGCACATGCACATTTGAATCTCTCGATTCTCCAGGTTACTGGAAACCAAAGTTGTTGGAAACTTGCTTTGCCTTTCTAAAAAACAATCTAACTAAAATATTTATATAATATTTTAACTAAAATATTTATATTCCCTAATTTTTTTTAGTCTTTTGAATTCCCTGACTTTTTCCGGTTTTTCAGGTAACTTTGCAATTACCATCAAACTCATTTTTTAGTTTTTATAATCTTCTTAAACACACACACAATAAGGCAGAGAGTATTTTAAATAGTAAAACTTGAGCTTAACAATATAAATATTGATTTGGAAAAAATGTTTTATTTACCATGTTCTGGAACCAAAGCCATACCACATCAGTTGAAGCATTTCAAATAAAAGTCCGACCATTATGGTGTGTTTAGCTCCAATTGTTTTCATCAGCATTGCTAGAAATGCAGTCTAAAAAATGATAAATGTAAAAAGATCTGTAACCTTTTAACTTCATGATAATTATTAAATTAAAAAAAAAAGAAAGAAGTTAATTATTTAAATTTCTAAGTATAACTGTATTTATTTTGTGATGTGATTTGTAGTTATCTGCAAGGTAAAGTAAATAATCATAAACGTTCAGTTTAAAAAAGATGTTTAAATATAGTTCTTCATGAGATTAAAAAAGGCTCAGTAGACAAGGTATTTATTAACACAGTGATAAACTGCAAAATCTACTTCTCCCAAATTTCTGAAATACCTATGCTTTAAAACTTTATATTCAAAAGATATTCCGTCCCTTTCTTACGAAGTAAACCGCTAGAATGTTAATAATAGCCTGCTTAAATGGAGTACCTACATTTGCCCTGGTATCTTTCTAATACATCAGATATGCAGTTTTATCCTGTAATAATATTTTAAAAATATTTTTATGGGCGTCTTATAATTTTAAAGTGACTGGTTTAAAGGTGCAGTAGCCTTAATTCCAAGAAAAAGATACTTTTCATTACTTAAAAGAAATTTCAGCAATTTTGTTAACAGATAAACATGTAGAGAGAAAATTGTTAATTATTAAATTTTATTTAGGAAGGAAATTATAGTATTTCTATATAGAAAGGAATTTGTTATAATTATATTAACTTTACTTAAATAATTTTTCCCTTTATTTTTACACAAAATCAATATGATATGCTTATGTATATTTATATATTCATTGCAAGAAGATATCTGTATCTTCACAAGAAGTAAAGATACAGATAGTGAAAAGGTAATCTGATTAGCTACAAAAGTTCTCAGTATTTAATGAAAACTACACACGTTTATTTTTCAATATTTCATGTCAGTAATTACAAAAGATTTTTATTCAATGAACCAAAGTTACAGAACAGAAATTTATTTTTGTAATGATATAGGGAAAAAGAATGTCTATCATTGACAAAAACATTTGTTTGTACCATTTATATCAGTTTACCATATTTGATTAAAAAATATTTCTTATTTTTTAAAACTTTTTAATCACTGATTTATGAGGTAATATAATTTAAAGAGGAAAGTGAATTTCAGCTCCTGTATCAAAATGCAATTAAGATTTGTATTAATTTAAGTTTTTGCAGAATTATATTATTTTCCTATCCTTTTGTTTTGATAGTACACAACAAAAGGATAGGGGAAAACAGAGTTTAGAGGTGAACTAGCCAATTTTGTTATCTTTTTTCTCATTCTCTTCAGAAATTATACAGTTTTGGAGAAGAATATTTAAATAAACCTAAACGTATTAAAATATCAAAGTTGGCTAACTTGTTGCTCACTCATTAGTCTTTTGCGACAATTTACTCAGTCCTGTTTAGTAACTTTACATGGTCAGAAGGTTTGAAGAAGTTTGGTAAGTTCATTTGGGAATTATACTAGTAAGCATTCAAATCTCTGTGACAGCTTTAGGCATCTCAGCCTCTCCCTTGTTTAAATTTCAGAAACTAACAACTTACTGTAAAAAATTTAATTTAATTGTAGCCTATATGAAAATAGGATTCAAATAAAAGTTTCAGATTATTTCTCAGTTTAAGTGAGCATACACCATACCAGTAGTATATTATGGGGAAGATAAAGAAACCACAGCAAATTCCTTACGATCTATAGAGGTTGTTCCCCAGTTTTAACTTTTTAGCTAATTTTTGGCTAGAACTGTTATCTACTCATTGGGAGGGGGGGGGGAGAAATCTTGTGAGATTTTTTATACTTCTAACTTTACATTTATAAATAGGCATGACCAAAAGTCCTTATATTTTTTTCCCAGCAATCATGACCTTTATACTTCTAAACTACATATTTAAGATGAAGGGAAAAAAAAAAAAAAGCAAATGGAAAAGACAAGTTTTTAAACAGCGAGTTTGATATAAAAAATGAAACATTTCCTTTTTAAGATTTTATTACCTTTCACTTCAAGGCCATATTTTCAAAATATGAGATTAGGCAGCAAAGGTTGGGTTAGGTTAATTATGATGGTAAAGTACTTTATGAAGGTAACTGAAGGTTTTCAAAGGTTAACTTTATGAAGATATTTCTAAAAGAAACTGACTTGTATTTGCACCTTATATGGGAAAAATCATGAAAACGCACAGCCAACTCATTCTTGTTGAGCCAAACTTTTGACTAATAATATCTGATGGTAGTTCAAGTGATTTACACTTGTAGGCATTTGATACAAAATGTTTTCCCTTTACGTAGACATTTGAATCAAAACCTTATTCATTAAAACAACTAAAAGTATAAATAGAAAGTTTAACTCTTCTACATGTGTTGAATTGTCTCCTGGTGTTGCTTTTCTTGTCAATTATACTGAATACAGGTTTTTTTTTTTACGGACATCTATTTCTCTGTTTATGCACCTTAATAGGAATATACTGAGTGGCTTAAGTGGGCTTTGTGAATAGCTATCTCCTAATTCATGTATGAACCTCACATTAAAATAATATACAGCTTTAGTTTTTCTCTGTTAATGATAATTCAAAGTTATTTGTATTATTAGTGGTAACACACAAAATGAACCAAAACACATTCATCATTTAGAATAACTTTGTGGCAATTGCATAATATTTAAATCTATGATCTACTCAACATTTCCAACATGCATGTTATATATAGTGCAAAAGAACAGAAGCAAGAGATTTTAATTTTCATGGTGTCTTTTCTTCTACACGTGAGCTAGCTTATATAGTATGAGGTGGCAACAGTACGCTGCAGTGAAGGGGTGATTCATGTAAGGATTGGTAACTGACTAATTTGCAATTCGTTTAGGTTGCATACTGCATACAAATCTAAAAAAAAACATTTATTATAAATGAGAACCTCTATTAAAAATACATAACAACACTGAAGGCATAGAAACTATTACTATAAGTAAAGTCCTGATTATGTAAGGATCTTGCTAATGGCAAGAGTCTTTCTAGTCGAGAGTTTAGGAACATTCAGACCTATTGCTCTATCTGAAGCAATTTGCATTCTGAATTATTCATGTCCTCTTAACTTTCAGTTGTACTTTATGTTCTCCGATTCATGCAATTGAGAGGCTTTGATAATGAACACAGAGCAGATTGATAAAATCTCTTGACATTGGTCATGAAGCCATCACTCTTGTAATGTCAAATGGAGGTATTGCTGATGAATTATTGTTTCTGCAATGTCAGAGCATGTCGTCTCATACAGCAATGTGAAGACTGTAACTTGTGGGGAATTACACACATGATTTTTTTTATCTTGTGTGGTCCATCGCAGGTATATTAGCTTCTGCTGACATTATAAAAATATGCTTTTAACCTAATCTTATAGTAAATCTATAAACAAATTTGGAAGTTTTATAAACACATTTATTCTATAAATTGTGTAAAACATACTTGAATGCCTTTACTTGAAATAAATAGTTTGCTACGGCTATTTAAGAAACAAAATACAACTTAAAAATTAATGAAAAAAAAAAAAAAAAAAAAGCAGACAGACATATACCATTTTGATCACAAAGGTTCTTCTCTGCAAAATTTATTAAATCATATACATATCCCATCATCCAAATAAGCTTTTCTCACAAAGATATTCTTTAGAAACAAAGTACTTGCTCATAGGTAATTCAAATTAACCAGTTCGCCGTTAGGAAAATCGTAAACATTTCGTGCCATTTTTCGCATCCAAAGGTAAACTTTTTGTGTCTAAAACTGGGTTCAGAATATTTCTTTCCCCCTTTCACCACCTGTGAAAGCCTATTTAGAAGTTCTGTTCAAATCAGATTGAAACAGCGTACCTGTCACACTGAAGGATGGTGAATAAGACCCCCTAAGAAGCAACATAAAACACAAAGACTGGTGTAATCCTTAGAGCAGATATTTTCCTTTTGCACCCACCCACTTCCATTTCCTGCACCTAACCCCAAATCTATTGCAATGTAAATGTAATTTTTAATTGTCAAGAAAAAAGCTTTATATAACGTAAAAATAAGGGCATTAGCTAGTATTTGAAATATCCTTGAATTTTGTTTTATGTGTTTTCTTGATGGCCTGTAACAAAAGAAGAATTGAATCGTTAAGAATTGAAAGGATAGCATTCAAATCCCTTTGTCCGTTTAATAGAAAGGAGAAAGCCGTTGTGGATCCCATAAGATATGTTGAGGGGTAGCTTGTGTCGAAGAAAGTGTCCCCATCCTTTACTTTCCTGAAACAGCCCCGCTGTGATCCTAATGCAACACCGCTGAGAAGATAAGTAACCCATCAATCACCCCTTTTGATTTTCGACTCATTCTGTGGGGGTTGGAAAAACGTCGCTGCGTCGTATGTGTCTCGCTCGGGGGGTTACGGTTCAGACCAAATTTCACCCCGACGAGAGTCTGCCGACGCTAACGGATGACGATGCCTTTTCTGTGAACGTATTTCTCTCGGGGCAAACGGTGAACTGGTTAATGTTATTTACCCCTTTTGACAGATATAATAGTAAGCTAAACAGATACCTTATAAACCATATACTTATCAAATTAATAAGTTCAGAAGTTGTGATCTGTTATTTTCAGTTACTATTAACTGCATATATTAGTTGTAGTAATACAACTGGTTATTTAGCATCTTAATGCCTAGAATTAATTTTAACATATTTCAGAAATTACTCATTCAAGTTCAAATAAATTACTATCATTTGATAGCCACAAATGGCAACAAAAATTTCTTGTGCAAATATAAATTTTTAAAAAATTAACTTTAAGTTAAAATCTTTGTAAACATGCAATCAATGTTTGTTGTTCAGCACAAATATTAATGCTTTCTTTGATTTGAAAAGTGCTCCAAATAAGAAAATCTTAAGTTTTATTTGTTTCATTATTGCTTTAACAGACTAATTACACCATTTCAGTTTTAACAGTCAATACCAATAACAGACAGTCAATACCAATTAATTGAAATAAAATTATACATACAGCAATAAAGAGTTTTGCAGAAATATGCAATTTTATTTATTTTTATAATTGCCAAGCAGCCACTTTTTCATTAATTTTTCAATTTATAATTTTTTGCATTTAAGTAATAGGTAAATTTTAATAGTCTAGAACAAGAATATGTCATTTCATTTTCCTAACTCAGCTATAATTTTAAAAAGCATTAAAACATTATATTAAAAGTTAATAAATTATTAACTAAGATCAAAATACTATTTTTTAAAATTTGCTATCTGCTTTGGTCCCATTTATTTGTTTATACAAATTCAACAAGTTTTTCCTCAATTTCAATGATAATATTTTTCCTTAGTCAAATTACAAACACTTTCTTCATCCATAAAATCTGGATGATAAATGCATACAAGGATATAAACATTGTATTGCTAAATGCCATATCATCGGGCCTGGGCTCAAATCATGGAGAAGACTAGGATATTTGTAAGTGTATAATAACTGCAGCATATGGGGGCATTAAAATACTGACATATCAAAAGTTCCCTCAAAAGATTAGGTGGTATGTGAAGAAAGGTGGTAGACTCTCAGGTTGGTTCTACAAGATGTTTTCTATCAAAATTGGGATGAACCTTCCTCTTTCTCATGAGTGCAATTGGATTGCCCCTGTAGTACACCTTGGGCAAAGTTCTCAACAATGAGTCAACTAAATGACTGATGAACACTGGCCAATAATGAGAATACATTAAGTTGCAAGTGTCTGGCCATGTGATACAATAACAACACAAATATGCAAAGATTGTAAATGCTGCAAAAGATTATTTCCACAAAATAGGAATTCAAACTGAAATAAAACATTACAATACATGGCTTTATAAGCTGAATATTTTTTTTTTCACAAATTTAAAGCTTACCTGAGCTATAACAGACAAAAGGCCAACAACAGCTATAAATAAAGCCACTTCATCAGCTGAAAACCCCATTATCTGAAATTAAAATCAGTTAAAATTAATTTAGGCCAATTTTAGCTGTAAATTTTACATGTAAGAATATAAACAAAAATAAAAGAAAAGTAATTTCAGTTAAAAAAATAAATGTTTTTGTGTATTCTTATCAAGTGCTTTGAACATTTTAATTAAATAAAATCAACAGAAAATAATCATTAGCACCTTTCAGTAGCATATTAACAGATAATTAAAAGCCTTGTGGGAAAAAATACAGTAAATTCTCAGTATCTCAAAATACAAAGGTATTTCAGATTCTCAAGCACAAAAGTATTTCAAATGAACAAAATTAAAATTTTGAAGAGAATAAGGTAAACAATGTAAAAATGCAAAATTATTACTTCTTGCATCATTTCATTGGAAAAATTTGCTGTGGCAGATATTCTAGCTACACAATAGGAATGAAATACACTACTGCAACAATTCACTGCTGAAGTTCTGGTGATAATATGGGCAGAGATATTGAGTATACCGTAGTTTTCAACTTTTCTCTAAAATCCCAAAGAAAAATTCACAACAGGTCAGGTCCATAGACTTGGAAAAACAAAAGCACAACACATGATCATCTCACGCACTTGAACAGATCCAATGGTAATCAATAAAACATGCTGCTAGATAGATACTAGACAAGAAAGAGAATCTAGCATAAGTATTTAGTACTAGCAACTGAATGTAAGATAATAATCCTACCAGATGATGTCCAACATCTTTTCAGTGCATGAAATAGTTTTACAAGCAAGTAAAATCTGCATCTTTAATTTATTTTTAGCCCAAAGGGCTATTAATTTCGTTTTGGCATTTTGCGTCATCTACTATAATATGACATTTTACTTTTCAAATTGTTGCCACCAAATATGAATTTAAAGGAATTAAATAATGAAGAATCTGCATGAATGTACCTAGAGACATAAAATTTTGATTTGAATTTATTTTGGAATCTAATTCATATTTTGTAAAACTTTAATGAATTTCTGATTAACAAACTCATTATTTCAAACCAAGTAATGGCAACACTGTATTAAAAAAAATCTCAGAATTCCCCCCTCAAATTTAATGCACAGAATTACTATTAAAGTTAAATGCTATGATACATAAAATATATAGACAGTATTTCAAAATGCAGCAAATCTTAATTGTTACATCATTACTACACCTGTGCACCTCAGCCCTCTAGCGGCATTTTCTGTATATACTTAGGAGAAGAATAAAATTATTCATTAGCGGAATACAGTCCATAAACAGTAGTCCATCTTGGACGAAGATCACTGCCCATTCAAAGTGGCAAAAATAAGTGCCGACGGAGAAGTTCATAAATAACTTCAAAGAATCTGAAGTTATGATAAGTTCAGTTAAATTAGAAGTAAAATTAGAGAACGTCAAGGAACTAAAAGTTGCATGACTCATCTCCAGAACGACTAAGCATTGATGAAAAGCTAGATATTGATGAAAGCTTAAAAAAATATGGAAGAGCTGGATTCATTGCTGGATAATATGGAGGTAAGAATTAATACCTTCTTTCAACGATTAAATTAAATAGTGCTTGAATAGTTAAAGACAGTGGTGTATCAGTGAATAATGAAACTTTCTGTAATGTAAAATTACCTGAAATTCCACTCCCAATACTTACACGAAATTATGAAGACTTCAGTAGCTTTAAACAGCAATTTTATTTCTTTAATTGGCGATAAAAATAAATTGAGCGATTTATTAAAAGCTCCATTATTTAAGGGCCGCACTAAGGGAAGACACAAAACAAATAGAAACAGATCAAGACAGCTACAATTCACTTCTTAAAGCTTTAGAATCTCATTTTGAAAATAAAAGAGCAATTGCTGATTCTCACATACAAAATATATTAAATCATGGAAAAAATCAACAATGAATCCCCCAGGGAATTACATCATCTATTGGATAATATAAAACATATTTCCGTGCATTGAAAGTTTAGGAATTCAAACGCAGTAATTTATCTGATGCTACATTAATGAATATATTGCTTAAAAAATCGATAAGGAAACGCGTAATCAATTCGAATTGACATTAAAAACAAAAGAAGTACTCGCTTTAGATGAATTCTTAAGCTTTCTGGAAAACAAGTATTAGAAGTTTATATAAAAACACTAATCAGAAACCAGTACTGAGTAAAAATATTATTTCAGGTCAAGAGAATAAAACCTAAGAGTTTAATTGTAAGTGTAGGGAGAAAAAATATGAAACCCTGTATTCTCTGTAACGCGGAAAATTTTTTTATACAGATGATCTAAATTCCTTAATATGAGCGTCTCAAAACATAATCAAATAATTCAAGAATCGAAGTTGTGCAAGATATGTTTTAAAATGCATAAAAAACCATACAAGTCAACCTTTACGTGTAGAATCTGTAAAAATTCCGATCACAATAGTTTAGTTGATGTTGATTCAAAACCCAAAGTTTCTCAGACGGTTCCAAACGAGTAATCGGCAATTGGCACCGAGAAAAATGAAAAAGATTCCCCAATTTTGCAACAGTGTGCAGAAGTGCTAGGTGCCATATTAACCACCAAAGGTAAACAAATGGTGTCCGCTGATAACATTGCGGCAAAAACAACGCAAGGCGAAAACGTCATGCTACAAAACATCGAAATTCTAAAACACTGTGGTACAAAATATCGCCGTCAAAAATACAGCGGTTAAAAAACTTCGCAGTTTAAAAACATCGCCGCCGAAAATATCGTGGTAAAAAATAAAGTATCTATAAATCATCATAATTGTAAATGGATATTCCCATAATGATTTGTGAGCGCAAGACAGAAAGAAGGAAACTTAAACATAAAAAATTAATGCAACTTATAGCACTTAATATAATTTTAAACTCACATAATTAACTAACAAAGACCATTAATAAATTATTTTTTATAAAGTTTTACTGGTAATTTTTCATTAAAAATATTATCTAAAAAGATTAGAAAAAGGAAGGTAAGTAACTGCATGACCTTATCTATAAAAAAATTGCTAACTTAATAATGAGATTATTTTTTTCACTTTTGTTAATATAATACTCTTATAGTGAAAATTATTTCTTGCTTAGTGTCATTAAAATTATCATGCACAGCGTGAAGTCAATTACTTGAATGTCGATTTGCTAGTTATGATGCTATATAATATTTCAGTAGTGTTTGGATTTATTAAATTATGCCAAAGCACACTATGGCTATCTGCTTAAGGGGTGGGACTCCTTTGTGAAGTACATTCTCAGGAATTGGTTCATATGCTCATTATACGTCAGGAAAACCTCGAAAATCTCCACACAGCTTGTTTTGTTTTGTTGTTGTTTTTTTGTTTCTTAGAAATAATGTGTACTAGCAGTGAAATTTCTTGGTGACTATTTCTTTAAGACGAACAATGTTTTTGAGAACAATAAACATAGGTTTTAATCATTATGCAAGTTCACCACATCCACACAAGATAATAAGATATGTAATTTTGAGTGGTCGCTTTAAATTGGATTGCTTACATTTACTTTTTGATTTAGGCTGCCCAGACGGTAAGGGGAGCCGGGCTGCGATACCAAAGGTCCCGGGCTCGAATCTCGGAGAAGGCATGGTTGTAACTTTCCGTCCCTCCATAAGAAGCAAAGGTGGCCCACCTATTTGGTGCCTCCATAATAAAGTGACCATCAATTCTGGCCTTAGTAGTGGCCACGCCGAAGTCGGGCTCAGGGCCCGCCATTGATTTAAAAAAAAAAAAAAAATTCAGATTTAGACATTTCTTATTAAGCACTTAAAAGTTTTTTATTTAATTTTTCACATACCTTTTATTCGAAAATTTCATAGTTACTTATTGAACTTACAGTGACCAACTTCCTAAGACAATTTTTAATGTTTTTCTGGTGTTTCTTAATTTTCAGAATATCTTAATTTATGCGCTCCAGAAATCTGTAGCGAAATTAAAATTAATATTTCTCAATGAGATTCTTTTTTGCGGCAATTCTTTATCCTCGGAATTTTTTTACCTAGCAACTTTGAAGCGACTAATTTTTTGCAAAATTTTAATTAAATATAAAATTTAAATAAAAACTTAATCAAATTTCCCTTAAATTTTATTAAGGATAAAAACTGCACATATTTTACATTTACTTTTATTTTCAGTGACTGAAATGTTTTAAGTACAATTTTTTTTACTTAACCCATTAGCCGCTGGTGTTGCGTTGATGCAACGGTCAAAATAAATGCGTATATAAATATAACTACCTAAGATATTTTATACCAGCAGGTGATTTTGTGTAGAAAATATTATGAAGATTATTTCTGTAAAAAAAATATTTGCCTTCAACAATCATTTTGTTTATAATAATTAATCTCATACTTTAAGCAAAATTTTCAACCGGGTATCTTTATGAGTGATCTATTTTTAGTCAAGGTTATCGTTTATCAGAACATTATATCAGTCAGATGTTTATATTTGTGTTGAGAATTAAGGGAAAAAAACAGGCGTTGCGTTGACGCAACGTCAGCAGAAAACGGGTAGTCAATCTCCTTTATCACTCATCCTTTCGATGTTCTAGTTCATGTTCTGGTTGTTTAAAAATGCCTAGAACGAGGTATCTTACATTAGAAGACCTTCAAAGATTTTTGATGAAAAACAGATGATGATAATGTTAATAATGACCAGAATGAACTGATATTGTTGTTGTTTCCCAGAAATTGCAGAGCCTAATGACGAAGAAGAAAGGATGGCAATGTTTCAAATAATGATAATGATATTTTACCAAATGATACTGCTGAGGAAGTTGAAATTCACGTAAGAAGTAAGTTTCAGCCTTCTAAAAGTAGTTATAGTCATACTAAAAAGTTTAAAAAGCAGAAGACTGAAATCTTGAAGTGGATAAAAAAGGAACGTTTAGTTATGTCTCAGGAAAAACATGAAGAAAGAGATAGAAGAGAAATTATAAAAGACAAAACACAAGGTAAAACTAGTGCACAGATTTTCAATTTTCTTTTGGT